ATCGATACATTGCAAAGTTGACACCTCGTCTCTCCCGCAAGTTGTAGCTGCTTGGACTGTTTGGTGCCGCTGTTGTTGTTGTCTGCTGCGTAGTTTTCTGGTCTCCTCTCTCCTCATCTCTGGTAATGGCCTCTTCCTCCTCCGGACTGCCGCTTTTATCGCTCTCATTTCCGTCGTCCGATGCCGTCTCCTCGCCGGTGACGCTGATAACGCCGCTATCGATGCTCAACTTGCGAGCATCTTCTGGGCTGGACGACTTTGCCGATTTGCCGTCTGCTGCCGTCGTTCCTGCTTCTTTGAACTCTCGATTATCCTCCAGTTCGTTCAACTGTCCACTGGCCACCTTGTAGAGGAGCTTCAGTGCAAACTGGTCAGGCAAATAAGTTAGCGAATTTTGTTTGTGTGTGTTTAACTAAAGTGCTTAAACTACTCACGCTGAACCAGTAGAAATTCATCAGCAGAATGATCCAGAGCATGCCGACGAGCAGGGTGATGAAGGGCACCTGAATCGCCTGCTCCTCGACGTACACCGAGGCGACGTAGACCTGCTTCAGGGGGAACCAGTACAGGCGGTTTGATATCCTGAGAGGGGAGAAAGGTGGACATTTCAGGAGTTTCGATTATTAAAAAAAACTTACCACGTGAGCAGGAAGGAGGCAAAGCCAATGTTGACCACTATTTCCACCTGATCGTACGTCCGACCATGCTGGACTTTGAAGTAGCGCACCAACTTTGTCGCCTCCAACAGAACGTCGCTGCCGTCGTGCAGGAAGAGCGTCAGCAGGCCTGATTTGTGACTCCTTGATAAGTGTTGATAAGATGATTACACTGTTAACACTGACACGCTTATCAGCAGAACCAACCTGTTGCAGTATGAGATGACCAGGAGGAGGATGCAGACGATGTGGTGGAGCATCAGCGTGTTGGTGTCCTTCCGGCGCTGGTCNATGCCCCGCTCCATCGTTCCCAGCGGGGAGTAGTCTTTGGTTGTTGATGATGAAGTTGATGGTAGTATTAAAAATTAAAAACTGCTCAATCAAGACGATCTTACTGTTACTGCTTACTGTGCCAGACTTGTTCAGGGTAGTGAAAGTACCCTGCATCGTGTACCAGATATGCAGCCAACGTCCATGTGGTCAGGTAGAAGGTCAGCTTCCAGGCACTTTCGGGAATTTTGCTTGCCTCTCGCTCACCGATTCCACGCCAAACGGTGATGGGCTGTTGTGAAATTTGAACACGCAAAAATGATGTCACTTACTCATTTGATCAGTCAGGCTATGCATTTTTACCTTGAAGATGTGCTTTGTGGAGTAGTGCCGGGCGGCGGTAAAGAGCACTGAAAGTACTGTGACTGCCAGCAAATCTAGAAATGACACCTGTCTGGCAAGCAGTGACAAGTCTTGGGTCAACTGTTGACGACCATACTTCCCACTGTGAACTTGCTGAAAGGTGCCTGCAAAAAAGTGGTACGATTTGACAAGAAACTCTAGGTAGCTGGGAGTGATGAAAGCGGTTTCAGCCATGTTGTGCACCGGCACTGCTGCCATAATAATACTGATGTTATTGGTGGGCAAAAGTGAAACCTTTTAGGTACAACAAAACAGCCTGATAACACTTTTTGCTGTGTTTGAGATCACTAGATTATTCAGATGATGATGGCAGCAGTAGTAAAGACTGAAGCCGTCTAACTGACTGTCCAGTTGGCGATGACCGTCCATTGCCTTCTCTCTTTTNTGATGATGATGGCAGCAGTACTGAAGACTGAAGCCCTCTAACTGACTGTCCAGTTGGCGATGACCGTCCATTGCCTTCTCTCTTTTCTCCCTTCTTTCTATCTCTTTTAGATGAAACAGGTTAGGGTAGTCGAGTGATCATCATCACTACATTCCCGCTGGCCACCGTTACCCAAACAACAAAACAACTACTGCTGACCACTGTCTTTTCACTTCCTCGTTGCACCCCTGTAATACACCACCGCTGCTTATCGGGCGCGCACAGGTGGTGGACACACAGGTGAGTGTGCCCACCACTTCTCTACGGCTTCTTCTTCAGGGCAGACTCGTTTCGCAGAAGAGGTCAGGTTTTTCAAGTTCACCTCAACAGCAGCAGCTGTGAGCACATTTACCATCTTTTGCCAGCGGCTGCTAACGCACACGTCTTTTCTCACACTCACATCGTTAGCAG